GGTGGTGAAGGTGACCCTGCTGGGACACCCCACAGGATAGGGTGGCAACAGTATAGCAGTGGTGGTGAAGGTGACCCTGCCGGGACACCCCACAGGATAGGGTGGCAACAGTACTGCACTGGTGCTAAAGATGTGCTCGGACCACTCTTTCAGGGAAGGTCACTGTGGTGGGAATGGGGAGGTAGGGTAGCTGTAGGTGACAAAGGGCAACACAAAGTAGGGGAACTCAATAGAGGAGCAGAAGGACACTGCTGAGTGCACAGTTGGGACTGTCAGTCATGGGCTTGAACTGGCCCCCTCTGCTCCCTAGTTTGATTCCTTAGTAGGAGTCAGACAGGCTGCCATATTTGGAGAAGGCAGACAAATAGATTGGCCTAACCTTAGAGTTTTCATAGGTGTTTGGAACAGAGGGAAGACATATGATCCCCCAGGTCTTTTTCTGAGAATCTGATACAGGGTTCATTTGTTTGCAAGAATGTACATCTGCCTAATTTAGGTTAAAGACATGGGGGCAGAGGAGGAATTTATTGTAAGATGAAAGGGGATATCTCATAGATCTAGAAGGGCAGCAGGACATCACAGGGCCTGGAACTACATCTGTAGGGCACCAGGATCCAAGACTGCTCTTCTTCATTTTTTATCCTGCTTTTTGTCTCTAGACATACCTGCTCTATTTCCTCTGCAGACAGGCTCTCTCTGCATCAGTCCACTTATTTACATGGCCAGTGAGTTTAAGCACTAATAGAGTTTCTAATAATCATCTCTAAGGTTCAATTCCAAATTCCAAGAATGGAACATCTGACCCAGCTTTAGTTTAGTGTCTAATCAGCTATGGCCAGGGGTGGAGTATTGATTTTTAGTTCAAATGTAGCCATGGCACAGAGCCTCCCAAGTGACGGGAAGGAGAGGGCTGCCTGGCTGAACAGAGGTCTTTCAGCATCTCTGCTGCTTCCAGACATAAGTTTGCTCTACTTGTCTTATTGAAAATATCTCTGTTGTAGGCATCAGGGGCAGATTATTTGGGGTTCTGTTATATTTTCACTGTGGAAAATATTTTCTTCTTGAAATGATAATTTACCAAAAGTAGCATCTTTATATCATTCCATTAACTGTTATACACACACGCCTGCCAATTATCAGTTCATGAACCAAACTTAACTGCCCTGAGATGGTCACCATTTAACAGCCTACCATATTGCTTCTTCATGATGTGATGAGGTCTGAGCACTTAACTTTAATGATAATTAAAACACAGACACACATGAACTTGATTCCAAATTTACAAAATAATCAAACTTACCATTTATCTTAAAAAGTCTTACCTGTCCATCAAGGCTCAATTAAAACCTTAATCTGTTCCACAAATTCGTGTCCCCTGACAGCAGAAAACTGTTTCCCTCTCTGTATTTTTATGACTTTCTTTGTTGAAACCTCTGTACTCATTACATTCTGACTGTTAAAGGTAGCACATGCCGAGGCAGTGAGATGAAAGAGCACATGGCTTATTCACTTTATTAACAGTCCAGCCCTGTGTTGGCACACGGTGCCCTCGGGCCTCTGCCTTTCATCTGTGTAAGTGACGGCAGTGCTTGCCTTTCATGGCTTTTGTTAGGAGCCAGTGAGTGCTTGGGTGCAGAACTGTTATTTGTGGGTTAAGAAGCCTATGCAGATAGATTATTTAAGAAAATAGTTTGGAGGTTTGAAAGATCCTACGTCTAACCCCCCTTCTGCTACTTGGTAATTCATGGTGTGGCGTGGTGATTAAATTACTGTTCCACCTTGTCCTGGGCATGGTATGTGGTATGTTCGTGTCCTTTCACTGTTGTAACAAATTATCACACACAGTGGCTTAAAAACAATACAAATTAATATCTCACAGTTCTGTGGGTTAAAGTCAAGGTGAGCTTGTTGGGGTTTCTGTGTGTCTAGTCTCATAAGACCAGAAATGGGATGTCAGCTGGCCCAGGCTCCTAACTGAAGGCTCTGGGGGAAGAATCTGCTGGCAAGCTCTTTTCAGTTGTTGACAGTTCAGGTCCTTGTAACCGTAAAACTGAAGTCCCCATTTCCTTGCTAGCTATCAGCTCATCAAGGTCACCTACATTCCTTGTTACCATCGCCCCCTCCATTTTCTTGTCATTTATTCATTCAGACAAATAAAAATGTTATATATTATATGGCATACATCCTGGTGTTTTGAAATATGTATCCATTATGGAATGGCCAAATCCGACTAATTGACATATCCATTACTTTACATCTTCTTTTTGTGGTAAAGACACTTAAAATTTACTCTTAGTAATTTTCAAGGATACACTACATTATTATTAACTATAGTCAGTATGTACTGCTCTCTTACAGATCTGAAACACTTCCTAAATTTGCCTGTGTTCCTCATGGAGGGGCCTGCTAATCTTTGCTGTGTCTTTTCAGTTTTCATATAAATGCTGCCGCGTGGAGCGTGACCCCTCCCTTTTTCAAGTCCCGTTCAAAGGAATCTCTCTGACTTCTCCTCCTGTTGCATTTCTCCTGCTCCCTGCTGAAGAATGTTCTCTGCACTTAAGGGCTCACTTGATTAGATTGCCCCCCCATAATCCAGGTTAATCTCTATTTTAATCATCTTAATTAGCCTTAAGTAGCTTTCATTATATCTGCCAACTCTTTGTGTGTGAAAGAACATATTCGCAGGTCCAAGGATTAGGGCATGGATGTTTTAGTTTAGTTTAGTTTTGTTTTTTTCCCCAGCGAGTCCTTTTTTCTTCTTTACTGCTTTTGGGTACTGTGTATGTGTACGGTTTGTGAAGCCAGGCACAGTCACTCAACAGCCATTGATAAACCGTGTGTTCAATAAGCAGAAACCGTTATGCAAGACGTGTCTTGTGCCATAAGTTACCTGTAGGAATAACCCAGATCAGAAGAAGCTGGGTGTATATTGTGGTAGCACAGTCAGTTCTTTGTGTAGCTGCTTGTACTGTGTGCAAATAAACAGAGGCAAGGCAGAGATGTGGTATCCACATGTGAGGAGTATTGATGAATAGGAAGACTATTTCATTCTCTCTTAGGATTTTTGTTGAAGCCTTTGATAAAGTGTCTTATTTTAATCCCATTATTATTCCTGTTTTTAAAATGAGTATTCTGTGTTCAGTGGGGGTAAAGTGCCCAGTGTTATAAGGCCACTAAAAATCTTGAATAAAAAAGAATCCTGTTGGGCAGCGCCTGTGGCTCAAAGGAGTTGGGCGCCGGCCTCATATATTGGAGGTGGCGGGTTCAAACCCGGCCCCAGCCAAAAACTACCAAAAAAAAAAAAACAAATCCGGTTTTGTGTTTATTCTCCCTAAGTGTTAGCAGGTATAGTACAGAAGTTAGGAACACAAACTCTGGAGCCAGACTCCCAGGATATGATTTCTCTCTCTGCCACATGTGTTCACAGACTTTGGGCGAGTGACACAACCTCCCTGTACCTTAGTTTTCTTATGCATAAATATAGGCCCTACTTTGTAGAGTTACAATTAAGGATTAAATTAAATATATCAATATATGTAAAGTACTTAGAGTTGTGACTAGGACAGAGTGCTCTAGAAGTACTCAAATTATCTTTAATGATTTTCATACCAACTGTATTTGCAGATAAAATATTCATATATCATTAGTGACTTTGAACACTGAGGATATTCAGGACTGAAAATCATAGCACTCTGAGTTCTACAATAAAATGAAAAAGAGAAAAAAACATTTTCTGGTAATTAGAAAAAAAACAACTTGCTCTGTTTATCTACTTGTCTATTTTTATACGTAGCAGAAATACCACAGGAAAAGAGTGTGCTTAACCTTTGGAATGCATCATTAGGGGTAAGAAATAGTCTTCCTGTGAAAATTGAGCAGGATTCTAATTTTCCAGAGAGCCTTCATCTGGAGATTATATGGAAAGAAATTATAGTTGACCTTTGAACAGTATAGGAGTTGGGGCACCCACTGACCTCTCCCCCAGTCAAAAGTCTGTGTATAACTTTTGACTTTCCCAAAACTTAACTGCTAGTAGCCCACTATTGGCCGAAAGCCTTACTTACTGATAGTGTAAATACTCCACTAGCACATATTTTATGTATTATATACTGTATTATTACCATAAGGTAAGCCAGAGAAAAGAAAATACTATTAAGAAAATCATAAGGGATAGAAAATAATAGTCAGGCACAGTGGTTCATGCCTGTAATCCCAACACTTTGGGAGGCCAAAGCAGGAGAATCAGTTAAGGGAAGGAATTAAAGGTCTACCTGGGCAATATAGCAAAACCCCATTTCTACTCCCTCCAAAAAAAAAAAAATGTAACAAAAGTTAGCTGGGTATGGTGGTGTATACCTATAGTCCCAGCTATTCAGGAAGCCAAGGTGGGAAGATCACCTAAGGCCAGGAGTTGAAGGCTGCAGTGAGCTATGATTGTACTCTAGCAAGACTCTGTTGGGGGAATGGCGGGGTGGGGAAGGAAAGAAAATATATTTACTATTCACTCAGTAGAAGTGGATCCCATAAAAATCTTCATCCTCATCATCTTCATGTTAAATATGCCAAGGAGGAGAAGGAAGATCAGGGGTTGGTCTTGCTGTCTCAGGGGTGGCAGAGGCAGAAGAAAACCCATGTGTAAGTTGACCTTCACGATTCAAACTCATGCTATCCAAAGGTCAACTGTGTTTAAATTTGGGAACTTGAATTTGCTGTTGAAATACAGTGATAGTTAAGATAACCACGCATGTAGTATAAGATTTGCAAAGCTTGAAATGTGCTTTGCCGCTGTCATTTTTATTTTTGAATATTTGTTAGGTTTGTGTGTTTGCTGCCTTCACTTCCTTCCATCCCATAGTTTAATTGTTCTTAATTGCTGCCTTCACTTCCTTCCATCCCCTAATTTAAATGTTCTTTAGAATATTCTCAAACTACTTCTTTTTTCCATCACCTTCACTCCGTCACTTCCACCTCAACTTTAGCTATTTGAGTTGTCTATTCAAGACTTAGATCTAAGGCTTTATTACGTTAAAACTATTCAAAACTCTAGTTTTTCCATTCTTATGTTCCCCAAGTTTGGCCTTCTGATGATTGGTGAGTTAGTTGTTATCATGTGCATGCATCCCCTCAGGTTGCAGACAGCTGATTAGACTGATATCCAAGGAGAGGTGGATAGAATCTGGCATGTTCTCATACTGTCCACTCTGTTATCTACTTAGAGAAACTGAGAACCACGAGACGCAAACAAAATGATAACCTGCATTTGTATAATATTATGGATTAAGCAGAACACTTGACATGCTGGATGTCAATTGGTTACTCAAAAATAGTTGATGATTAAGTGCATGGTTACCTGATACAGTTGCCAAGTATCAGTGAAATACATGAGATAGTGATCAGATTCAAAATACATTTTTCTCATGGTATTTAACAAATTCTTGGCTTTTTAAAATATGGGCAAAAGGAAAGTGTTAATTGCAGTGAAGATGATATCCACTCAGTTCTTTTTGGATCGTTCTGTTCAACTTCGAATCCATAGGCTTAATGGGACACACCCTGGCACTTCATTTAAAAGGAAGAAACAGAACATTTTTGATTCCAGTCGTGTCTGCCATATTTTCATATCAGGGCTAGAAACTGGGAAAAGCAGTTTACAAGAGAACTATGTTTTATAATATGATCTTTTGTTAAACTTTACAAGTTTGTTTTTATCACACTTTCTGAAGTGGTAGAATAGTGATAACTACTTCACAGACTTGGTGATCAAGAAGAATCAGCTTTAAATGTAGTTGGCATCTTTCACAGGTTTGGGCAAAGTCCAGCGGGTTTCCCGTGATCTCGGTTAGAATGGGGAACCTCTTCTATCTGCCACGCCTTGCAGTGGGCTTGGCCTCGTGCTTGAGCACCACACCAAAGGTCCAGCTATGCAGCCGTTGAAAACTAGTTGAGGCCTTCCTTCAATTCTGAAATAACTTGTTGCCCAAATCTGCTTTTGCCACTTTATAATTCAGAATCTTGTGCTGAAGACATTTTGGAAAAACTCTTAACAGCTTAACAGCTTTATCTGTGAAATATGGGGAAATGCTTAAGTTTATCCATCAAGAATTAGTTGATCTGGGGAAGGGAGACTTGAATTGCAGTGAATCATCATTTACATATGTCACACTGTAGAAAACTGTAAGCAGGCTGGGCTCAGTAGCAAACATCACAGGACTGTTTCTTGCCTGGGGTAAGTTATATAATGGCATTTTATCGTGGTAGTCTGGACCAGTAACTAGAGGGTCCCAAAGAAGAGAGATCGTGTTACTATGAAGACAGCTCCTTTACAGATGGTTACCATTAGTCCTAAGGGTAGAGTCTGGATTCCAAAGAATATTGGAAACACGTATCCTAGTAGTCAAGGATCTGAGCTGAGCAGGGCCCAGTACCACAGTTGGTTGAGTCAAGGGGAGGAAAAAAAGTAGATGTAGAACCAGAATTACAGCATTACCAACATTGTAACATTGATAAGGTCATCACGTGGATGTACAGCTGTGCACTGGTAAGTCCCTTGTGGACAAGAATTGGATGCAGAATATAGCTGGAGCTGTAGGTGCTCAGAAGATGTTTGTGGAGGCAATGAATGGTTCAGCCAGGCACAAAGGAAAAAGTAGGAGTCAAATTTGGTCTGGAGAATGTAGTGTTAGGACAGATTCCACACTGCTGCCCAACTGAATCCCTCGGGGAATTTGCCTTCTGCCTGGCAGACAGAGTTATGTGCTGGCTTCCTTCTGGAAGTTCTGTAGGGAGAATGCTATTGCTATGGAGGGCTGAGGCCCTTGGAACACCTCACCATTGTCCGATGTGAACACTTGCAGGCCATCTCTTCAATCCACTAGATTTTAGGACTTCAGTTCTTTGTCAGTAAAATTCAAAGGTGAGTAGTTACGTGCTGAAGGGTGACTTCCTGAGATGGAACCAAGGAAGCAGGCAGAATAGACAGATCCCTCAGAAATCTTGACAGAGTATCCTGGTAGAAGGTAAACTATTCTCCTGGTTTGGAGGAGCATTTTAAACAAGGATAATTTAAATCGAGTTAAGGAGTCCTAAGCCAAGGACAGTATTTTATATTCAGTACTGGGGAGATATTTTCTGTCAGTGGTAGAAGGTCATACTTCTTTATTCGGAACAACAGTCTTGTTTCCAAAAATGAAGGAGATGGAATTCTAATATTGTTCAAACAACGAACAGAAAGCACATGGTGTAAGACAGTTTATATGGAAATTGATAGTGGAAGATCACAAATGTACTGACCTGTTTTAAATAAGATTGGGTGTAGTTATTATAAAACCTTAAGAAAAGAATTATGTTCTTCCACATATATATGTGTAGGTATGTATATATTTGAAGGTAAGAAATTTTGTTTGAGAAAAAGAAATGTAACTTGGCTATGATAGTCTATAAAAGTAGATAAAAATTAAGCA